GGCTGAAGAAACTCTTTGACGTGACTAATCCCACGTCTCCTTCTCCGTCTTCTCTCAGGTTTTCCCGAGAAAATCTCCTCTCAAGATTTCCCCAGGTTAGGCAAGAAATTTTCTTACCCCTTAATGGGTTTTATTTTCTATTCATGATCCGATTTTGTGATGGTTGAATTGTACTGTGTTTGTTTTTGACTTAGTTATTCCCAATGCCGATCTTCTCTTGTTGCACCAACGCAAATTTCTGTTCCTCTCCAGGTAGGTTCGTCTCTACAGCTATTTTTCTTCTTTTTAATTCGCATTGTTAGAAAGTGCTAGTTCGTGTTTTTTTTCTTTCTGATCGCATTGCTCTATGAGATTTGTTAGGTCGAGATCCAAGTTAATTTCTTTGCTTTAGATTAATCTTGAAATCGTAAAGAAACCCGATTTTTGAACTACGAAATTAAGTTTTGTAAACGGTTAGAATTCTCGCTAATTTTTTTTAGAAAAGAGTTCTCACTTGCATTAGCATGATCATGAGGTTACATTTTTCCTGTTGATTAGTTACACTCTACACAGAAGATTGAGCTTAACTTATGTATAATGAATGATACCTTGTACACTTAATACTTGTGCTGGGATTTGGTCTATAATGCTCAAAGTTTGTAAAACAAACGTGTTTCAGGCGTTGTTGATAGAGAATGAAGGAGTTTGCATAAGTTTGCTTTCGACCTCCATGCCTCTTTGGTGATTGATGATGAATTCTCTCACTGATCAATCAGGCAGCAGCTCTCATGGAGATTCTACTCCTCGCAGCCCCTTCTCCCCATTATCTGCATACGAAAGGCAGAAAGGTCTCGCTGATTCCAAATTCCAGCGTCCCCTACCCAATTCTTCCGCATTGGGTACACTCTTCTTTTTCTTGCTCTGGCATTGCATTTATGGGCATAATGTTTATTAGAGAAGGCCTCTTTACATTGTAATGAGTTTCATTTTGAAAATGGTTTCTTTGTACCAACAGATCCATCATCCCCTGGATCAATGCTCCATGGAGGGCCCAAGTACCATGAGGCATTTCAGATGAAACAGGGGCGTTTTGATCTCCAAGCCCCTAAGATTTCAGAAATGATGAAATCAAATCATTTAGATGTACTGCCTAAGCCTTTACCTTATTAATGAGAGTTTCTGCGTATCCTAGGCTCTGGTTTTCTTGATAATAATGCCTATGCTTCTGTTGAATGTAGAATGCTCCCACGCAGTCACTTCTAAGTATCGTAAATGGAATTCTTGATGAAAGTATTGAGAGAAAGAATGGTGAAATCCCTCAGGTACTTGAGTCTCACAATTTTGGACATATATCATGCACATATCTGTTTTCATGCCGCTTGGTGAATCTTCTGACCTAGTCTATAATGATCAGCGTGTAGCGTGTCTGCTGAGAAAAGTCGTGCTGGAAATCGAGCGACGTATTTCGACTCAATCTGAGCATCTAAGAACGGTATTTCTTGTTTCCTCGGAGAAACAGTAAATTGTGTACATTTGTTTTATATTTTGAGTTTTCTTTGTGCAGCAAAACAATGTCTTTAAATCTCGTGAGGAGAAGTACCAGTCAAGGATCAAAGTTCTTGAAACCTTAGCTTCAGGAACTAGTGAAGAAAATGAGGTACCATAAAGAACTTAGGCCCTGAGATTTTTTGTTTCATGAAATTTCACTAAATGTGTTACCCTGCTGATCAACTCACATTTCACCAGATTGCTACGAGACAACTTCGACGGATAAAGGTAAATGCTTGCTTTTTGCATCTGTCCATTATAGTCATGTAAAATTGCTTACTGCACGGTGACAAACTTGATTCTATTGAGATGTTTATTTGCTTGAGATGACTCTTTGATAGACAGAAAAGTCCAAGCTGGAAGAGAAGAAGAAAAACAAAGAGGAGGATTTGGTTAAGCTAGAGAAAGAAAATGGTCAATACAATACTGAAATTTCTACTTTAAGGCGAGAACTCGAGACAACCAAGAAAGCATATGAACAACAATGCCTGCAAATGGAAAGCCAGACAAAGGTCGCTTCCGCAGGTATCGAGGACAGAGTAAAGGAGCTCGAACAAATGACAAAGGATGCAAGCGTTGCAAAAATTGCCCTTGAGGGAAGGGTTAAGGAACTTGAAAAGATTGGGAAAGAAGCAAATGCTGCTAAAATTACTCTTGAGGAAAAGGTGAAGGAACTTCAACAATTCAAAATAGAGACAATAACTGTTAATACAAGCCTTGAAGCAAAAAATCGAGAGCTTGAAAAGATGGGGAAAGAAGCAAATGCTGCTAAAACGACTCTTGAGGAAAAAGTGAAGGAGCTTCTACAATTTAGAAAAGAGACAATAACCGTTAATACAAGCCTTGAAGCAAAAAATCGAGAGCTTGAACAAAATCTCCTCCACTGGAAGAGTAAAGCCAAAGAAGTAGAAGAAAAATCAGACTTGAAGAATCGAAGTTGGAGTCAGAAAGAAGCTTCGTTTAGAAGTTTAATCAATTTCCAGTTCCAGGCACTACAAGTATGTTTTACATATACCATTGACTAAAAGCATTTATCGTATTCGTCTACAGTCAGTCACCTAAGCCTGCTGATTTTCCAGGAATTGAGGTTCTATTCTAAGTCCATCAAACAAGAAATTCTAAAAGTTCAAGATAATTATAAAGAAGAGTTTAGTCAATTAGGTGAGTCAGTTCGGATACACGCATTTTATAATAACTCGATATAATATATTTTTGTAAGTTTGATGGTGTTTATCAAACAAAAATCTTTATCCTCAGGGAAGAAATTGCTTGAACTTGGAGATGCTGCCGAAAACTATCACGCTGTTCTAACCGAAAACCAAAAGCTTTTCAATGAACTTCAGGAGCTAAAAGGTAATGTGGATCATGTATATCATTTCGATGTTTCTTTACAATTCCGATTTATATAAATTTTCATCTTCTGTGCAACCTATAAGTTCTCTAGTTATTATGGCTTGCAGGAAACATTAGAGTGTATTGTCGGGTGAGGCCTTTCTTGCGTGGTCAAGGTGCATCAAACACCGTTGTAGAACACATTGGTGAGCATGGAGAGTTGGTGGTTCTCAATCCCACAAAACCTGGGACAGACGGTCTTCGGAAATTCAGGTTCAATGAGGTCTACAGTCCAACCTCTACTCAAGGTGTTCTTTTGTTACTCTTTCGACCTCTATTCTAAGAAGTTTTTCTTCCATTCCATTTATAATTTCTAATCGATCGGTGTTAAGAATTATCAGAGCTTATTTATACACATCTCAATTTCTACTATATCTTTTCAAATCTTGCAGCTGAGGTATTTTCGGATATAAAACCTCTTGTTCGATCAGTTCTTGATGGTTACAATGTTTGTATCTTTGCGTATGGTCAGACAGGATCAGGGAAAACTTACACAATGGTATTCATTCACTCGCTGTTATTTTCTGTTCAAAGATGCCTAGTGAATGTTGGTATTGCATTCTTGACATCATTCTTGTTTTGTTCAGACTGGTCCAGATGGAGCAAGTGAAGAAGAGTGGGGAGTGAATTACCGTGCTCTCAACGACCTCTTCAAAATCTCACAATCTCGACAAAACAACATTTCGTATGAAGTCGGAGTGCAGATGGTAGAAATATACAATGAACAAGTGCGCGATTTACTCTCTGGTGACAGTTCTCAAAAGAAATATCCTTTTTCTTGTGCTCTTTCAAATTTTGTTCCTCCATATTACTTTTTGTTAGTGTTGCCATTATTTTGTTCTCCTTAACTTTCACACACTAGGGATTCTTTCTACAACTCAACAAAACGGTCTTGCTGTACCGGATGCAAGTATGTATCCCGTGACAGCGACTTCAGATGTTCTTGAATTAATGAACATTGGGCTACAAAACCGAGCCGTTAGCTCGACTGCTTTAAATACAAGAAGCAGCCGCTCTCACAGGTTCTCCTATTGACCTCTGAAACAAACATTTGTTTTGTCTTTCATCATTCTCTGGTAGTTATGTCTCTTAGAGACAAAAAATAACTTGGTTAGAGAAATCTTTATGCAGTATTGTCACTGTTCATGTTCGTGGAAAGGACTTGAAGACCGGTTCTGCGCTGTATGGGAATCTACATTTGGTAGATCTGGCGGGTAGTGAGAGAGTTGATCGCTCTGAAGTTACAGGAGACAGACTTAAAGAAGCACAACATATAAACAAGTCACTCTCAGCTCTAGGAGATGTGATTTTCTCTCTTGCTTCAAAGAGTTCTCATGTACCATATAGAAACAGCAAACTAACACAGCTTCTCCAAAGCTCTCTTGGTTAAATTCCAAAATTTCTGCTCTGTTTTTACATAGTGAACCAAATTTATTAGCTCTGACTTCTCTTTATGTGCGCTTAACATCGCAGGTGGGCGAGCAAAGACGCTGATGTTTGTGCAACTCAATCCTGATATTACATCATATCTAGAGTCAATGAGTACTTTGAAATTCGCAGAGCGTGTCTCTGGAGTTGAGTTAGGTGCTGCAAAGAGCAGTAAAGATGGTAGAGATGTTAAAGACTTAATGGAGCAGGTAAAGAAAACTAAAACATCTCACATCTCATGAATCTTCTTCTCAAGATATCATCACTAAATCCTTAAACAACTGTTGCAGTTAGGATCCCTCAAAGACACAATAGCGAGAAAAGACGATGAAATAGAGCGGCTTCATTTGCTTAAGGACATTAATTACCCTCAGAGACCAAAGAGCTTAGGACAATCCGATGACTTTAACTCCGAAACTGGAGATTCGCAATTGTCTATAGAAGTAGAGTCAAGATACCAACAAGACTATCTCAGACAATCACGACATTCTGTCACGGACAGCGAAACGGTAGTATCTTCTTCCATTGATGCAGAGTACGATGAGAGGATTGATGCAGAGTATGATGAAACAGAAGGATCCATTGATGTTGCTCGTGCAGCTGAAGGCAGAAAACCATTGAAGATTTCAGACAAGTAATGGGTTTTTTTTTCTTCCTCTCTTCCTTCAAAATGAAATTACTTGCAATTGAACGTTTTGGTTGATTGGTGAATCCGAAAATTGCAGACGTAAGCCGGTGACTCCAAGGGCTAGTACGACAACAACACGACCACTAGATAAACTCAAGCCGGTGACTCCAAGGGCTAGTACGACAACAACACGACCACTAGAAACTACGAGGACGACGACCGTCGCAAAGGCCACTTCAGGCTTGTTGTCACCAAGTAAGCCACACAAAATTTTAGGTTGATTGTTTTGGTTTATTCTGGCGTAATATATAGTTTGATGATGAATAATTGCTTGTGTCTCAAGGCATGAAGAAGACGGGAAGTGCTTCAAATTTGCTCAAATCATCAAAAGATTCAAAACGGTGGTCGTGAAAAGACTCTTTTCTCCCTAGACGGCTTAAAATTCTTTTAAAATAATTTATTTTCTGCCTCCTCCTTTTTGAATCCAGTGGTTTCAGTTGGGGCTTAATTTTTGCAATTTGATTTGGTTTTAATTATGTAACAAATTTTGTAAATATACGAATTTTTGATAAACCAAAAACATAGTTCAAAACATAATTTATTGTAAAATAGAGGAAGCTTTATAATAAATATAGTGCATACTCTTAACTATTTATGTAAAATCAAGTAATAGTAAGTGGAAATTCCGAAATTGGATTCTTATATAATGTGACTGAGATTTGAGAAGTTGACATAACAAGTAACAACAGCTAGTAGCTCCATAGTAAACCCACTTTACAAAATATTGGTGAGTAGTCCCCACAGTGTTATTTTGCATACTTGAATTTAGCCCAGTTTTTGTTCTCTTTCACCAAAATTAATGATGTGATCGCCAAATCTATTTTTGGAATATTTTGGGACCCCTACATTTTCATCAGTTATTGTAAACCCCCAATTCTGTCTTCTTCAGCATCTAAAATGAATTATATGTATATGATGATCATAAACATAAACATAATATGCTGTCTTCTTTTATGTTAAGATAGCAACATAAGCATTGACTTAGTATTTGAGAAATAAAAGATTAGTTAAGGTTATGTTTTGATTATACAGAGTGGTATCAACTGAAGGTTTTCTTTAACCATTTTTATATTAAATTAAAGTAAACATGTTACATCAAAAAACATATCACTATATTTTATGATGACAGTGATTATAATAGTGGATAGACACTTTCTGACATTTTGCTTCCTTGCCCATTGCACAAATATTAATCAAAGGAGGAAAACAACAAATAGATCATTGGCGTTATAGGAGGCAAAGAAGATATAGTTTTAGATCACCAAATAGGCAATACAATAAAAAATATAAAAAGATTAAAAAAATAAAGCATATATCTATAATATTAAAACAGAAGTACATTTAGGAGAATGTCCAAAATTGATTCAAATATTACACAAATTGCCATTGTCTTATAACTAAATTGATTAAATTGAAAAGGTTAATTTTGGATAGATACAATGGCAATTTCAGTAATTTTGATATCAATTTCGGACATTTTAAAAGGTATTTTCGTTTTTTTATATGACATATTAATGACATTTTCTTTATTTTAGGAAAGTTTTGTAGTTGCATACAAAAAAATGATAAAAA